GTACCAACTCTCCAAAAAGAGTTAAATTAACACTCTCTGGTGTGGACCCATATAGACACTTTAAAAGTGTTGAAATCAAATCTGACAGTGTTAATTTGGACATGCTGGATTTGCTGTGTACGCCCTTGGATGTGAGACATTGCAGAGAGCCTTTATAAAGACACATAAAAAATTCTCAAAAGTTATGTTAAAACTTGCATGTTAAAAAATACTTCTTTGTACATCCACAATATTCTTAATATAGTCTGGTTACAGAGTTTAAATTCCTCCCTCAGTGTTCCCTCTGTGTGATCCAACTTCTCTGGATATGCAAAGTACTGTGGTACAGGAATGACATTCCGACTTGCACCAAACACTTTTTTTTTTTTTTGTAACAGTGTAGATAACAAAAACTTGTCAGATAAACAAGTCAACAGTCTGGCACTTCCTTAAAAAGCAGGAATCCACTGGCTAGCTCAGAATCACCAGAAGGCCTGGAAGACAACTAAAGTGGACGACTGTAGATTTTTTTCCATGATTAAGAAGTTTAGGGAAATTCCTTCACAACATCTTGCCAAGTCAAGAACATTTTTGACAATGTAGGTATATCGTCGAAGTCTGCAATCGCAAAATTCTTTCATGAATGTAAATACATGGGATTTTTACAATAATTTGCAAACTACTGCTTAGAGTACAAGTTCACAAAGTCAAAAAAATATCTCAAAGAAAAAAGTAAAATATAGTTGAGTCAGAATAATGATAAGATAACTATAGCTATGGTGAAGAAAAGTGGCAGCTCATGCACTTTTGTTTTTTTTTTAAATTTCTTTTGTTTTATCTATAAAACTCAAACATGTGATATGATAATTCAATTTTATATATCTTAGATCTGCTGCACATTGTTAAAGATACTTCATTGAGGTAACATCATACAAAAATAAATAAATAAATCTTTCCTGCATCCATTTCAAATTAAAAGCACTCAAGTCTTTCACTCAACAGAAACACTGGCCTTTAGGTTTTGATTATGTCATATTTGTATGAACTTGCTGTACACAGATTTGAATGATGAAATATTAAAATATTTTGAATGATCTTTTAAAATAATTCATTGTAAGTACCATTTTTCTTGAAAGACAAGAATTTTTTCTGAGAGGTATTCATTTTCGATTTCAATGAGCTGTATACACTTTCTATTAACATTTTATTTTTATTTATTTTTCCATTGCTTCCATTGTCATATTTAGGAGACAGTAGTGTTGGACTTTGATGCACACTATATAACACACAATAGTGACATCATATGTTCTGAAGTATTTACCATATAGATTTAGCAATTTTCTGTTTTTTTGCCATTTCAGAAATACAGGCTAGATGTCTCCTAAAGGATTGGGTTCATATTCTTCATGGTTCAGATTGAAAATTAATTCATTAATTAATCAATTACCTTAGAGTTTATGGCAAGTGTCTGTTGGAGTTGGGTGCATCTCGGCACTTCTTTGAATGAGCACTTAAGTCACTGGTGCCACCGGTGGCATTCAGACGACCCCGGGCACCCTGTGTGGCACGTTGGCTATTCTCCGCCAATGACATCACAGAGACAGACTCAGTGTCAGACTGTACACTGTTGCTCCAGTCATTACTCCAGCTGCAGAGACAGGGAGGGCGTTGTTTACATAATGACAGTGTTTAGGCCTATAGACCATTAAAGCAATTAATATGGGAAAAATGTCTGCACTGAATATCTTCTCTCTGTTATCAAAGTATGTTTTGTATTCCAGGTTGCACAGGGTATGTATGAACTCTGTATGAACATGTATGCAATTTAAAATGCAAGTGTTAATTCTGTCATTAGGAAAAACCAGTACCCAGTAAATTTTTTCTGATCTTATTCATCTTTTATCTTACTAGATGAAACAATTTTCTACATCTAAAGAGGAGTGACCTTTTCAAAAGCATAGCAAAATAATAGTAGAGTAGTTGTCCGCATTGTTCACCAGGAGGTGGACATACAAGACAAGGACAAGAACTTGAGTCCATTTGGATTTAGACCATCAGGACTAGCACACATTGACTGAGGTATAGTCAGTGCAGCCCTTATCTTATGGTACCTCATAACTCAAACTTTCTTGATGAGCTGTGACCTCTGCCCCAGCTTCCTTCAAAAGGCCTTCTTTCCCTCCTTAATACTTAAAAAAGACATTTAAAACAAAGTGGTTTCTTGGCTCTAATTCTTGCCTTCTTGTTCCCTAACTTGAATATACTTAATTTTTTCTGGATCAGAATTTGTTTTGGGGAAAATGGTAAACATGTTATATTCTCACTGCACATGATGCTGGATACTGCGTTTGCCTCTGAAAAAAGGCAACCAATGAGAGAGGTTTTTACACTGGGGGGAATCTTGGAGTAATTTTTGGCCAGGATATTTCCCTCAGCACACACAATAAGCAAATATGTAGAACTGTCTTCATTCATTTGGACAATATCAGTAAAATTTGAAATATCCTGTCTCAAAATGAGGCTTAAAAGCTATTTCTCACATTACTCCTAATTTACTGTAATCCGATTACTTTTTCAAGTAACGAGTAAAGTAAGGGATTACTATTGCAAAAATGGTAATTAGATTACCGTTACTTTCCCGTAGGAACGCTGCGTTACTGCGTTACTAAAACCGTGATTTTTTTTGCAAGAATGTCTCATGACAGTGACTTAAGCAAGTGTGACATTAGTGGCAACAGCTGTGTGCAGATTAACAATGGATAATATATCAAGTACGAGAGAGAGTATGAGCGTGCAGCACAGCACTGTCCTCAACCATGGCACACCCCAGGGCTTCGTTCTCAGCCCACTCTCATATTCACTTTTCACACAAGACTGCAACCCTATTCATAACACAATTTTTATATACAATTTTGCAGATGACACAGCCGTGGTGGGGATGATAACCGACAACAATGAGACGACCTACAGAGAGGAGGTCCAGGGATTCACATCCTGGTGTTAGAACAACCACTTGCTCCTCAGTACCAGCAAGACAAATGAGCTTGTTGTTCACTTCAGGAAACATAAAATGGATACATCACATGCCAGTGGACAAACTCTTTTTTAATTCCCTCCCCTCTGGCAGGCTCACGGTCATGAGAGCACAGACAGTATTTTTGCTCTCATGACATGCTCTCATGCTCTTAACAACAATTAAAGTCTTCACATGTGAATTCAACAACCCATGCATGTAGAACTCAGCAGCTACCCACACAAAGAAGCCATGATACATGCAAGGGTTTCTGCTTTGTGAGTGTTGTTATAGATTCACTCTCTCACGGGTAACTCTATTCTCAAAGCTGAATTCTGCTCAGTCTAATCAACCCGACTTTCCTCAGGTGATAGGACAGAGCAAATTTTATATTTGTTTAAATCTGGAAACTTATGTTTACTCAGATGACTATTTTTAAACAATTTTTTACTTCTCTTAGGAATGACTTGTGCCCCTTATTATGATGATTTATTTTCATAAAAATATGTATCATATTGTACAACAGACTAACTGGACAGGAGTGGAGAGACTTCAGAACCTTTGCATTTTAAGATTTCTGGAACATTAAAGTACTCCAGAAACAGTTTTCAGTAATTCCACAGCTACACAGAAAAAATAACTGTTGATAATTAATTTGGCAAACTCATTTTCCAAGTTATAAAAATAATCTGTTTAAAACTGTGCTTATGTTGATGCCACAGTATAACTCGGTTTAATGCTGTGAACTGGCCTTGTCTATTAAAAATGCTGTAGTATCTTAAAGGTTAATCTGAGTGTTGGGGCTTTCTTTATATTACTGTAGGATGCTTATCTTACATCATAAATCACCTTGAGGTGGCTGTTGTTGTGATTTGACACTATATAAAAACTGAATTTGATTTAATTTATAATAACTCGTGTCTGGGACCTTCACTGAAAGTTCCTCTGTAGAGGAAGCAAGTAAAGTCTGGGGGTTATGGCTCGCTCATGCTACCCTATGCTCTAATTATGGGGGTATCACAAAGCTGGGTACTGGAAAAGAGGGTTTGTCTGTTAGTCAAACCTCAGATTCTGGAGAAACATTGTGGTTTTTGTGCTGATCATGGAATGCTGAACCATCTCTTTAGACTCTTAAGGATATGTGAGGGTGCATGGGAGTGTTACCATCCAGACTACATATATTTTGAGCACTTGGAAAAAGCTTTTGAGCGTGTCTCTCAGAGTATCGTTTGGGGGAGTTTCTAGAGTATGCGGTATCTGGCCCATTGCTGCAAGCCTGCACAACTGTTGTGAGAGCTTGGTCTGCATTGCTGCCAATAGGTTGTACTCATTTTTGCTGCATGTTGGACTCTTTGTCACAGATTCTGGTGTCCTCAGAATTTCATCTCTGCTTTTTGTAGATAAAGTGGATCTGTTGGTATCATGAGGTGGTGACCTCCAGTTTGCACTGAAGCATTTAGATGCAGCAGGACTGAGAATTAGCACCTCAGAATAAGGTCCGCAGCTATAAAAGACTGGAATACCCAGTACAGGTCCGGCGTGAGATTCTACCCAAAGTAGAAAAAAGGAACGCTGAATGTAAAAGCGAAGCTGTCAATTTACCGCCAGATCTGTCCCCACCCTCGACTATGGTCACAAGCTTTGGGTAGTGACTGAATGAGGTTGCAAATACAAGCCCTGGGAATGCTTTGGTGTTGTCCTTATAAATGGGAGGAGGTGGCTGGGGAGAGGGAGATCTGGGCTCTCTGCTTAGAGTGCTGGATGGCGATCTAGCCTCCAATAAGGGGAAGAATTCTGATGGATGGATGCGTGGATAGAATGATTGTAAACAGCCAGTCACAGAAAAAGCACTCTACATATATAGGGTTCACTTTGGTCAATATCTATTCAAGTGCTCAGTGGGCTAAGAAGTTGCCTGTAGAGTTTAAAATTATGTACAGTGATCCCTTGCTATATCGCGGTTCACTTTTCGAGGCCTCGCTGTTTCGCGTATTTTTGGGGGGTCCAGTTTTGGGGTTTTTTGGGGTTTTTTTTACCGCACATTGCGTTCTGTGTCCTGATCGGCTGTAGACCAAATTGTCAAATTTACATAAATCTTCGCTAGCAGAAGACAACAAACACAACAGTGTCAGCATCAAAGGATTACAAGGCACATTAAGCGAAACCAAACAATCAGATAAGTCAAGCTTTATTCAACTTATTCTTCTTGCTTTCTCTACTTCCACATCATTGATTCATTAATTTTGCATTCTCTCGCAGCTGCTCTATTCCCATGTTCTTGACCTGAAAAGAGGGTTTGATCTTTGGTTTCATTCTATAATACTGGACTTATTTTTCTATGAGGGTTTGAACTTTGAGATTGTTTAAACAAGAGAGAAACGTGTGAAAATGTTGATGCCTGTCTGAGAAAACTATATAAAGTGTGTAGTGAGGTGTTTTACGGCCTTAAAACATCTATAATAATTGTAAAAAATAAAGATAAGATAAGATAAGATGACCTTTATTAGTCCCAAAGGTGAGAAATTTGTTGTGCAAAGTTATGTAGCAGAAATTAGAAAACACTGGAGTGCAATAAAATAAAATAAAATACTATATACAATAGAATAAAATAGAATAATATATACAATAGAATACAAATGTTATATACAACTTTGCGGATTTCACCTATCGCGGGTTATGTTTAGAACGTAACACCCACGATAAACGAGGGAACAACTGTATACAGTTTTTCTTGGTGTTCTTACTCTTGTCTTGATCATTAGGTCACTAACAAGCAAGATGGATGAACTAATAGCGTTACTCTGGAGTCTGATGGAGTATCTGGAGTGTAGCCTGATGTGCTTTAATGAAATACAGATTAAACAGGACATTCCCGATGACAGTGTATCTATTAAAGGCTTCCACACTGTTCGGGGTGGCAGTGACAGCTTGGTGAGTGGTAAAAAGGAAGGAGGGGGCTTGCTGTTCTTGTTAACAACCGATGGGCTAGACCTGCTCATATCTCAATCAAAGAACTAATTTGTTGCCCGGACAATTTATTTATTTAAAAAGGGACAATACAGTTTAACATTTAAACAGTTTCAATTTGGAGCATGAAACTGATATGCTGCACATAGAGTTTATAGGTATCACTAATTCATAACCATTAATTTTTTTTGTCACTTTTAGGCTTTTATATTCAAAATCCAAACAAACAAAATTACAACATTCAATTAAATAAAACCATAATACAACATGGCTCAAACCAATTAACTGTGTATTTTGAAAAATCAAATTTAAACAGTTTACACAGACTGTCTTTTTGACACTATAAGCCAAC